GTTGCTATTTTTACAAAACAAGCAGGAACTATTTTTATTGTAATTTTGTAGTAGTGTTTTATGGAAATCAAAGGATTATACACAAGACCAACAAGTTATTTCACCTTTCAATAAACACTGATTACAGCATATAGTTAAACATTAATTAATCTTCAGGCCCGGAAGACCGATAGGTGAAGGCGTCTCAGCGTCTTTATCACTAGCCCGCCAAATCTAGGTCGCAGGTTCTAGTCCTAAGTAGGGCAATTGCTAGGTAATGAGTTGCCAGGTAATGGTCGCACGTCGATGGGTTTTCTCCTTGAAGCCCGGTTTTCCTCCACCATCAAAACCAAACACGCCCTTAAATGACCCTGGCTTTTAATAGGACGTGAAGAAACAATAATCCAAACTGAATACAATTCTACGACTCGTTAATATTAATAAAGGCGATTCAGACTAATAGTTATTTATCCAAATAAGTATTCAGAAAAGATGGGGAGATGCATAAATTAAAACATTTTGTTTATTTTTTTATATTCAATCTGACCGACATTTGTCAGTATTAAATCATGATTCTTTGCTTGGTATGTTTACTTTAATTGAAACTTTATGTTTTTCCCTATCCAAAAGTCAAGCTTTATTTCTGTTGTATCGCACGATATAAGTTTCAGTATAATCACGTAAGCAAATATAGGTAAATTTTGTATGTTGTTTATATTTTATCCACTATATAACCGCTAGCTTTTATAACGTTTGCTTTCACGAAATAGTTGTACAAGTCTCTCGCTCTACATACTTGTGTGAACCCGTGGAATTTTCTGTAAGGAAATCGACATTTCCGTTACTTCCAGGTCACCGCGAAGATAACCCCTGGTCAGCATAATTCGATGATTTGTTAATTGTAAACAGCTTAAGGGGTAGATTGATCTATATATTGGATCTAGATCGTCTAAGCTGCGATTGTGACATAATTGTAAAAAAAATCGGACAATTATTTGCGCGTGGACGTCACGTTTGATAAGTGGTCATCTGACAGGGCCTATTTTATGTGTTGCGCATAAATATGTACAACGATAAAGATAACGAGCGTAATATCCTCCTACTCAAATCGTAATGTTCATCAGTAACATGACGCTTTTGTGTTTAAACCGTCCAGCTAATTTGCATAACACTTTAAACAGGCGTCATTTAATGAGCGAAACGCGAATCAGTATTTCTGTAGGGAATACGTCATTTGCAGATTAAAAGGATATTGAATTATTACATGTAAACCAAGCCATCAATCAGATGCAAATGTCATGTCTCCTGGGGTAGTTGATTGTATCAGGTATAAATAAAACGCTAAATATCGTGGCGTCGAAACAAGGTTGTGTTATCTGTTTTAGTGAAAAAAGGAATTCACAACAAATCATGAAGAAGACAAACGATTGCCATAAATCAATAACACGGTATCATGCCATCCAGGTAGAAATCCAAAATAATTCCATAATTGGTTTTTGTAATATGTTATATGGAATGATATACTGATTCGGTAAGTAGTCACGATTCCTGCTAGAATACCCAACGTCTACACCGAGGAAAGTTGACAGTCTTCGTCAGTAGTATAACTGTGAAATCTAAGAGTCACTTACGATGAGAGGTGATGGATCATTAAGAAGTGCCACCTAAACTAGCCTGTCACTGGAAGTAAAGGGAATCTGGTGGTTAGACGTTTTGATTAGTTGGCTCTCTTCAAATTCATAGTTCATATTTCATAGTTGGATACTGCGTAAAATCGATTACACATGGAAAGGAAGCCTCACTCCAGGACCCATTGATATGATTCAATAAACATGCCATTCCATTTTTCTGTTTCTAACTTATATGGGTGTCCGTTTAGCTTTTAAGTGTAAAGCGCATATTTGTCTTTTATATTACAGATAAGTTTCCATACCATTGAAGCAGATATAATGATATTTTCCCAATCAAACTTAATACCAGTTTTGTTTGCTATCTACAGATCAAAGCCATTCACGTCAGATGAATCGTGTTCCTCATTACAGTTATGACAGATATCAGTTTTAATCTATAAATCAAGAAATCGTTTGTATTGATTATCTTGACTACCCGCTAGCGCCTCGCGGCGTAGCAATATCCGGTACGAATGTAAGGTATCGCTTAAATGTCTTCTTATACAATGTAAATCACTCCGCGTTGTCTGGTCACTACAGCGTGTGGTGTTGCGCTTAAACCAAAACTCTAAGCTAGTTTTAGTTGATGACATTACGTAGTGCAAAAGGATATGGTTACCAAAATAATTTTGGTCGTTTAAAGTTGTTTAAGGATTGTCATATCTGTTAAAACTTATCATTGTCACATCAAAGATAAATTATCAATGCCTGAAGGAATGAATGGGGGTGTAGAATCCGAATGAATTACATCTACAACCGTGTTAACAGGTTGCTCAATTCTGATCCCAATCGGATTACATAGTAGGATAAAATCTGCAATTTAATCTGAAAGAAGACAGTGTTTGTATAATTGATTGACATACCAAAGCTAACGTGATTTATTTGTGCAGTACCTAGAAGAGAGTCAGTCTGACCATATGGGTATTGGAAGTGAATAACAAAGCAAAATTGAAATGCCAGTCCTGTTAAATATTCTATCTCTGTTTGCAGAAATTCTTAATCGGCTTCTATATAAACCTAGTCTGCCTACCTTATTCATGACCAATAAATTTTACAGATCCAAATTTTTCTCCATAACACCATCATGCTTGTATATATATATATATAAATGACACTTCTAGAGCACCCTGTCTTTTCCTCCTTGTACTGTTTTAGGAGAGTGTTAATCTCTTTGTTTTTTACCTCCAGCTTTATTGATTTTTAATTTGGATTATGAGGATGTTGACACGGTGATATTTTCTTGTTTTTTTTTCTTGCTCTTTCAACTCTATTATCTCTGTTTTACAATGTACACTTCTAGAGCACCCTGTCTTTTCCTCCTTGTACTGTTTTAGGAGAGTGTTAATCTCTTTGTTTTTTACCTCCAGCTTTATTGATTTTTAATTTGGATTATGAGGATGTTGACACGGTGATATTTTCTTGTTTTTTTTTTTCTTGCTCTTTCAACTCTATTATCTCTGTTTTACAATGTACACTTCTAGAGCACCCTGTCTTTTCCTCCTTGTACTGTTTTAGGAGAGTGTTAATCTCTTTGTTTTTTACCTCCAGCTTTATTGATTTTTAATTTGGATTATGAGGATGTTGACACGGTGATATTTTCTTGTTTTTTTTTCTTGCTCTTTCAACTCTATTATCTCTGTTTTACAATGTTCTCTCTGTTTCCTAGATGTCGAGATCTGTCAAGAGACATCCCCGGTTATTGGTTCAGAAATGAATTTCGTCTTATTAGTGATTAAATTTGAACATGAGAGCTTTAAAAATATATGCTTTTGTAATAGTAAAAAGTTTTATTCCGGGAGGAATGATTTCCCTTGAAACATTACATTAGTATTAGTTCAGTGGAGAGAATTTTACCAAACTTTCAAAACAACCGATGAGTAAATCACTGGAAACCTTTTGGAAATATTAAACATGTAAATTTGAATGACATGCATCCTTAATTATATGAAAAATATTAGTTTCGTACTTTTCAAAGTTTGAACTAAACACCCTTTTCCCATTTGAGTAATAAAAAGGCCAAATGTACTATATCTTTTATTTATGTTCATTTTAAAACTGCATGAACGATATAGCTTTGTATAGAAACTCCCATGAAACTCTTCGAGCCTAAGATGAAAAAGTAACTTTAAGGTCTATAGAGATTGGTAGGTAGGATCATTCATTACATAACACGATTTTCTTGTATCAAAAAGGGTATTTGAATGCTCAGCACGTCTTAATTACTTAAAAGAAAAGTGCATTCTAAGGTGAATTTTTTGCTTTGAACAGTACGGTGGCAGGTTTTTTAATTTTTCTTTTACTTTTTTTTTTTTTTGTTTAAAACATTGGTTTCCAAAATTGAATCCCTTATTTTAATTGTGTACCGGAAAATAACGTCATTTGCTAATGGATATGATATGAGTCGCCAATGAGATACCGGATACCTGTAGATGTTTCTAAGAGTTTAATTTGAGCTTGTCGATAAATGTTGCTCCCTTCCCAGTAAAGTACCCTATGTGTTTCTTAAAAGTATATTCAAATAGGATAAAAGGAAAAGTATGCATATATTTCATATTTCAATTATATTTTAGTGTGATATATCAGTTTCACCAGAATTGACCGATCAAAGTACTGTGACAAATCTACGAACAGCTTTTCGATCATCGCCATCATTAACATAACTGTGTGCGATGTTTCGGTAACTACACTACTACCTCCTGACAAATGACAAGCTAGGTACCCATTTAGCAATGTTAATCTAATTCATTGTAGATCTTTTCGGCAATATAATTTAATCAATATTTTCTCTCGCATTTGACCTCCGGTTTTTATACGTGCAAATTGCAATGCAAATGATTCTGTTTCTATTGTTAAAAGTAACATGAATAAATTCGGCCCCTTTTTTCGTTTTATTTCCTGCACCATTTCCTTTTCTTGATTCAAAACATGATTTTTCCATTTCTGTTAATTTCTAATCCCTGTTCTATCACGTACAGTTTAAACGTTACAAGAGTTGGGCTTTAGCGCTGAGGCTTCTTAGAGTAAGTGAAAGAGCAATAAAACAGAACACATGTCATATCGTTTAAGCTAGAACACTTTTCTTCTTGGCACCTTTACATAACAAGTAATATCTAACAAGGCTTTTTATGAGAATATCATGAAAATAATTTGTCTTTGAAAACTTACTTTTGTACCTATCAATACGGAATTGCCGTCAGAAAGATATATGTCCTACTTGAAAATAATGAATTGATGACATAGGTGATCATCATTAACATTTTCAGAGTGGGAGTGTCTATTTTCCTTGATAAATGTTGATTTCATTCGGGTTGCGACAGTTGTTGGTATAGACACTGAATTGTGTACTTCCAGGCATTAAACCGTGATACAGACATGATGCTAAGAACACTTACGGTTCTCACCTGCTGTTTGGTAGCTGCTGCTTTCACGCTTCCTTTGAAATCGGACAGTAAGGACACGTTGACATCAAGACACAAGGTGAGTTTTAATTTTCGATGATGATGATCTGTATATCAACGTTTCTTATACTGATCAGCCACGTGCATGTGAACCAATTCCTTACATCATTTCAAGGAAAAGTCTCAAAATCAGTTATCCGCACTAATTAGATTATCTACTAAAAATTCTGTAAATTGAATTTGTTAAAAGTGTTTACCAGTATAACATGGATTTGGTCGGCTTCACGTGATGTAAAATACTTTAATGTTAAACCGACAGTAAAGAAAACTTCCTGGCTTCATTTCGACTGCTTTGTGGTTTAGGATATCCTAACAAGTTGACTTTGAGATGCATGTGGAATTAAGAATTAAGTCAGAAAACAGAAAGTAGTAAATGTTCTATTTCTTTTTATCATTTTGTATGACTCTGTAGATAAAAAAAGTTGTCAAAAACATTTGAAAGACACAATATCAGTATGAATGTGTCCTGTGTTTGATCATTACGACTAAAGTGTTTTAAGTAAGAAATGCTCTCGATTGGTAATTTGTAAATTGATATTAATTTCTTGGTATCATTTAAGTTGCGCTGTTTCACAATAAAGCACTGATGTGATATAAATATATCTTAATTAATCCAACAGCATATTCGTTTTATCAACTTGTTTAAGTAGCCCTTTGTTGCGTTCTGTTTCTTGAGTAGAAGATGGATATGTCTGGTCTACATTTGTCAGTCTTAGTTCTTTGGAACGAGAAAAATCAGGGGTCTATTTATTCAAATAAGAAACGACATGATGCAGCTGTCTGCTTGGCAACGAGCAGTTTAAGGACAGGTGACCGTAATGTCCTTATATAATGCGACAAACCGGAGTGTAATTGCGCCATATCCAGGTTATGATTTTCAGTGTCATTGCACTTTAAATGACTCTTGAATATTGCAATAATTTAAAGCAACAGCAAAGGAGGGCACATTTAATGTGAATAGGATGTAACTTTTTTTGTGATCAAATTGATAATACAATGTATCAGTACAGTCAATTATCTGTAGGCGAATTTCAGGCTAACTCGTCACTTTTATGTTATGAAAATAAAGGAAAGTAGACAGGTCTCCTTTATTGCAAAGTAATGGCAGCCTCGAGATATATAGAAAAAATTGTCTAAGCATTTTCGTATATGTAGCAAACTTGATGTCAGTGACCTTCCTAATGACTGTGTGCTGTACTTCAAGTCTATAAATAATTTAGACAAACACTTATTCGTCCCACACGCAGCGCGTTAAGAAATCTTACTTTGAATTAGAGAGCAACTCTGTGGTGTTCTCCGTGGTTTTGAAATATACATCTTGTCTTGTAGTACATATGTTGATAAAAATAAGGTTCGTTAGGGAGCCTTTTCCTGCTTTCTACGTTTAAAGAAAATATTCAAATGTACGACCGATTGTTGTATAACGTTTCTGAAAAAGATCATCGAGGCATTTAATATAAAATGGAATTTCAATACCATATCAAAACAAACGTTTTATCTGTTTTATAAAAAAATTATGAGGAAACTCAATCAATTGATATTGATCTTTCTTGTCGGCTCTAAAGAAAGAAAACACAAGGTGTTAACAGATAACAAAATGAAGTATGACGGGTTCGATGAGGTGAATGGCAAAATAAGTTTAAACAATATATATTGCGGTAAGGCGTTAATTTCATTCAGTGCTCGTGCTGTAAGCCTGGTGATTTCTGTGTAATGAACTTTGCTTTCATTCGGGAACTTTACTTGTACTGACGCGGTCTTCTTTGATGGAACTGAAAACTCTTACCCTTCCGCAACATAAAGTTTTATTCTCTTTGTACGTAATCATTGGTCAACGTGGAAACGTTTCTTTGGTTTTCATTTTGAGATAAAATTCTGTTGACTATTCTGTATTTTCCCAAAGTTTTATAGAAAGAAGATACCTTCGAAGATAATGGTATTTAGTGATCTTTGCTAAAGCTATGAGATGTGAAGGAGATGTCATAGAATTTTTAATATTGGAGGTCATGTTAACAATTCAACTAACCAAAATGTTTCTTTATTTCTCCATAGCGTTCAAGATTTGGTGTTTGGGATCCCTATGGACACCGGAAAAGATCTAGAGTAGACTTTTTTGACAAACACGACTTCAATTTTGATGGATTTTTGGACAAATTAGAACTTTCACTTATGTACCTTGCAAATGGTGCTTCTTGGGACGAAGCATTAATGTTCGGAGAACAGCAATTACGTCACGACCTTGATCACAATGGAGTTTTAGACCGATGGGGTAAGTTCTAATAAATGTTCTCACAGAGAGATCAGTCGACGGATGTTACACTGAAATGAAAACTCGATATACTGTTCTTTGTGTATCCGTGTGCAATTGATCCCAAATTTAAAGTCTCTTATTTGTCGCCGTAACGCACATACTTGAAAAAGGTCATATTAACGCTTTAATAGCCTACTTGGCTCATGATATATAGATAGCAGAACATATCGTCAATGATTGGTCCTTTGTTTGTGACGTCATCACAAAATGGCTGTACAGTTAGCAGAGTGTACCACATTATATCATCAAGTCACACATTGATTGAGTTGTTGATAGACTAAGTTTTTTGGGATATCGTTATTTCTGAAAAGATTTTAATTTGTTTATTGGCTTGTAAAGTACTGGTAGACATCCAGAATAAAATTAATTTGTAATTATTCTACTTATCTAACTGCATCGTAAAAAAAGCAATGGCTCCTGTCCGACTGATAAGAAACTGCAGCTCTGTTGATACTCATAGCATTTTTTCCGTTTGGAGGAGGAATTTGCCGGTGTCAATGCCTGTCAGTAATCAACCATTTAAACAATTATAAGTGTGTCCTATTTGATTATGAATGGTTCGACGTATAAACTCCAGAACGTTTAATATTCTTTCTATCCTCCTTACATAACAGTAATATTGTAACCATATACCTGAAGACACTCTCACAAGCTGTTTCCAAAAGGTAAATTAATTAGTAGTGTGTACTTGAAATTATTTCCCATGGAAAAAATATGGTGATAATTTTGGATTGATGTCTAAATCTTTGAACTTTATTCGCTATGTCAAGCTATGTCTGAAACGAGTTTGTTTTTTACATAACATTTCGAAATTTATTAACGCACACACGATTCGCACCGCAGGATCAGACGTAAATTCAGATAGGAGCCACATAAAGTATTCATTACCATACACGCCAAAGAACATTCTCGTCAATCAATTTCTCTTTGATAAGAAATAGGCTGTGGATATTGGAAAATGCATACAATGCTTTGGTTTATCTGACCTTGTACTTTTTTTAGAAGCACGGTTATATTTGGGTTAAATGTCTTCATTGATCAAAGAGTTTATATATAAGTATGCATGAATTTATACACTTTAATATAAATGGCTAATATGATATCATACGATGTTTAAATGATGACTTGAAAGACTGCCATTTGTCAGGAGCACATTACCATCAGACATGATATAGATGTTATCGAATCGCCTGATTTTATTTAGTTCCAGGATCAATCCTTGTTGAATGTGATGATAGACGTATTCATTATATAACTTTTACTATTGATCTAGTTATTAAAACTCAAGTCAGTTTAAGAAGAGAGCAAAACATGATAGTCAATGTGAACTTTGATATAATGTCGCTCATTTGTCAATCTACTGTATCAAACTGACACCTGGAAAACTAAGCTAACACCTAGGTGACATGCCCGCGCTTGGTACAATACATTAAAATATCGTTATCACATCCTGGCTTGGCACTCTAAACTAAAACTTCGATATATCGGCACGCTACACTAAAACCTGTATAACGTGCTCACTTGACACTCGACAGTAAGATCTAGACATAATGCCCATTGCTCATCACTGGAAAACATCAATAAAAGTGTGTGTATGTCCTTCCCCATGTTATTAAAGTCTCATATGGTAATATCATTATCATAAAATTCTCAAAAAGGTGAAGTGTTGTTTATGGTGGTGATTGAAAGGACGGCAAAAACTTTCTACAACCTACAGTAATGTCATTTCTTTATTCCAATGACCGTATCGGCATCAAGTTTGGTTTGGAAAAGCCTTTATACTCCTTCTCATATGTGGGCAAATAACCACGTGACATTTCGCCTATCATAATGTCTGCAATAAGTCATTTGGAAACGTGCTGCAGTCGAAATGCGATAGCAAATGTCCAAGAATTAGACCAACAAGCTTCCTGTTATTGTAAACGATAAACCGCTTGATTGCCATCATCCGGTATACGTCTGTCGACTTCTAGGTCAATAACAGTTTCAATGAAAATTGATATCCAAATGCAAACTCCCAGCTCATCAAGACTTTGTTAGTTTTATCTAATATACATATCCCGAAAGACCTCCAAAACAACAATATTTTTCTAATATACCCAAAAAGATATATATTTGCGTGACCAGCCGGTGACCAATGATTTGTAAATGACAATGGTGATTTTCTTTTTAAAAGTACAACGATATCACAATTGCTTAATATTCCCATGTCGGTACCGTTTACGATCGCTAGACCGTCCTTGAAGAACGGATAATGTGACTTTGTTTACCATTTTCACGAAATATCCAGTAAACAAGAAAATATGTTGTGACGAATCACTACAGCTTTCCAAATCAAAACTTATCATCTTAAATTCGGTATAATTTAAAATAACGGATAAGAAAGAAGTGCCTTATTAATATTGATATCGATAATCAATATTAGATTATGAAGAGAAATTTTGCAATGTCTAATATTGTCTTAAAATTGGTTAAATCAATTTCCAAAGTTTTCTTCTCCATGCTGTTCATGCAAAGCGATGGATAGCTGGTATCTTTAGAGTGGCTTCGACCGGAAACAATCGGTGGGAGTTATGAATGAAATGGAACATGGAAAAAAATACACATCGTATAACCATATTAGAATATCTAGCTAACGGCTCCATCGCACAGAAGATAGCATGACTAGGGTATATTTGATAGCGTTAATACTATGTTTGTTATAACAAAACAAACAACTTTCTGCTGTATGCGTTTGGATGGAAATCACCCACGCAGCAATGATAGACGTAAGGATGACAGACTTAAAGATAAATATTTCCTCTCCCTTAGGTTACAAAAAAAATCATCTAGGGTGACATTTCGTTAACTTTGGATTATGTTTTTGCCTAGTTCCGTGTCTTTCAGATTTAGAATACAAATAATATTGATAAATGTTCGTTCAAAGGATCCTACACTAGGTGTGCAAACTCTGTAGAATGTCTTTCAAGAAAAGTTGACGATCCTTTGCTTTGGTACCTAGAACGGCAATCTAAAAAAGAAAAAATTCTCGGAACACGCTTGGTCGAATTATGTTTTTTTCTCTCTTTTTTTGTGAAAATGTTGTATGCAACATTTTCATTGTCATTGGTTTAAATTGAAAGGAATATCATAGAAAATGTTGTTTTATGCAACATTAAGCCTTGGTATACAAACCGTTTCACAATAGGATTAAGTGGATTCGCCCATGCACAGCCATTTTTGTTTCTATTTCTGCTTTGTGTAAACACTGAGAGCGGTAGTCCTTATTCATTTTCTTTCTTCGATTTATCAACCCTCAGTATAATACGATTCGTTGATATCTTCATTATTTATGATATACCGAAAGATTTCATTTCTAAAATTTCTTTTATGTTTCCCAACTTGTATTACCAACTACCTATATCGTGTCTAAAAAGCGCCGAACATTTCGTGACCGTATAACACGGTTCCAAAGTCCTGGACTACTCTGTCCCTTTTCTATGATGACGTCGTGATCTAAATGCATTTTTAGGGCGAAATGATTACCGAGTGACTAATTACGGTACCAAGACTAGCTTCAGATCTCTCTGTTCGCAGATTTAAGACATAAAAATAACGTAGGTTTTCACTCTGTTTCTTGCGTTCCCGAATCTCGACCTATATGAGATTATTCACATGTTCTATATATATATTTATCAGTTTTAGGACTGCTAGTAACTTAATAACATTGTATTTATAGTCTGTCAATTAACGATTTGTCATTGTTTTGTAGAAAACGCATTGGATATTTAATTATAATGATTCTTGATTAATTATTCTTTTAATCTCTTGACAGAATTCCTTCGAGATAATGACCTGATGCCTTATTGGCCGTACTGAGAACAAACCCTCGAGAAAACGAAATGCTGAGACTGTCGGAACAGAATCAGGATATATAGTCAGCATGTGATACCAACAGACTCTATGGGATAGAAAAGCAAACATGGTTCATGTGTTTCACTTTGTATGAATGGGAGACAATACTTGCCAACTTCACACAAAAATGTCTTCTGCACGGGATCCGAGAAAAAAGCAAAAAAGACAAAAAAAATTTAAAAATACAAATATATATATATATATATATATTTATGTATATATATATATATATTCTCCGCAAAGGACTTTTCCGAACTGTGGAAATACAACTGAATGACATGTCTTTTGATGTTCATTTCTTTGATTTCTAGTGATAAATAGGTATTATGTTGGTATGTCTAATGGGTCCAGCTGTGCGAAGCTTTGATGGCTAGACGTAATCTTAATATCTTTTCAAAACAAAAACGAGAAAAGATTTGGAAATTCCTAAATTTAAGCACTTTTTGGTAACAAGTGTTGAACATTAATCGTGTATCATTAATATTTTTATTTGTAAATGACAAAAAATGAATAAATAAATGAATATTTATCAAAATTTAATAAATAGATATATATTTATCAAAATTTAATTAAAAAGATATTTATATCCATAAGTTAAGAGAGCATTAGCTTTACCAAGCTTTCACCAACTGGGCCACGGTGTCGATAAACAAAGTGCCTATATGAAGCCCGATCACTTCCGGTCTTCTGAATGAACTTCCGCTTGTTTTATTTCTTCCTTAATTAGAAATTCAAGACGAATCTCGTGAGCAGCACGCTTTATGAGTGATGTTTTTTTCTAATAAATAGAGAAAGGTGTTTATATCAGTAAGTAATTATTTCTAAAATCCACATAAAATACTTTGATATTTATTATAATTGCTGCGTAATTACGTGTACAGTGTAATATCGCTTGCAGCTTAATGTTAAATCAAAGTTTACTATATAAATAAATGCTTTTCTGTGCGATAGGTATCTTGTCTATCGTTATGAAACTGATTCCAGAGTAGGTGTAAAATATTACATTCGATTTGTGTGTGTGGGAGGTCTGGAGATATAACAAATTTTTTTCATGTAGGCATTTATTTTCATTTCACATGGCGATTTTTTTCTTTTTTTTCAAATTTTTTTTTTTATTATAATCATTATTTCAGAGTACAAACAAATGTAATTATATATGTTGAATATTGACAAATCAAAAGATGTGTATTATTCAACCAAAGATAATTATTTATTTTGTGTTGTAATTATATGAAAATAGATGTTTATCAGTATGAGGTGTATACAGAGCGGTGTATAAAAGATTGTATTTGATTACTAAATCAAAACACCCATTTCATTAAATGATAGATGTGTAACACATTTCACATCTTGGAATTTTAAGAAACACAGGAATGATAATAGTTTGTAAATTTAAAGTTGTCCTTGATAAATTCATTTCAATTAAGAAAAAAACCCGGAGCATATTGCTTACTTCCTTAGAAATTAGAATAAAGTGTGCGCATGGACATAATTATTGAAACGTTGTGTTTATTTCCTGTCAAGAACTGCATTATTACTGAATACACGACGGATTTTTCAAGGAAAGTAACAAGTATTGGTATCATTATAAGATAAAAGCAATTCATTGTCCCTGTGTGATTTTTAATAATTAAGCCCTATAAAAACGCAACGTTTAATTCCAGTATTTATCAGTACACGGACAGCAAGGTTTCTTGATAGCGTTGAAAAGTGTCACGATGCTGTTCAAATCAGCTAACGTCAGTTTTGATCCAGAGAACAATTTGTGTCCTAATATCTGTCCATTGTCATTGTTTCTCCTATTGGAATTTTCGGTTGATTGTAAGAAAAATGATCAGAAGAAGAGATGTACATATTCCTTGCCATATTCCTATCATGAATTTCGATAACCGCATGAAATGCAACACAAAGCAGCGAAATACTGCAATGAAGGATATATGTCTAAAAAGGCTTCAACACTGAAGAAATGATAGCAGGCTACAAGAAATCTGATTGATGTCATCGCATCAGAGATTGATTTAAATGGCCGATTCTTCTTCTAAAGATGGACGAAAAATCCAGAGTGGTAATTGGCAAATAACCCCCAAATACAAATACTGATTGAAAAGGGAGAGTGAAAGTGAATGATTATGAGCATTGCGCAAAGTCGAATATGAATGCGTTTTGAAAGAGGTCGATAAGTTTACCCATTTTGTTTTTTTGTGTTTGTACTCAACTGAAATTGTATTCAACAAAATATCGCCTTTCCATAAATTTTAGTTGTATCTTTTGTTCATATCTCTATCTGTTGGTTTAATTTGTTATATTTCTTTTATGAAAAGTTGAGTGTTACTAGATGACAAAATCGTTACTATTAAATATTTTCGGAAAAAAATCTGTATGTCTCTTTTATTCTATTACGTATTATGAATGATTACGAATAGGTCACACACTGAATGGAGCAGTTTAACTTTCATGTTGTTGATGTGCCTGATTACTATTTCTACTCGCACTGTTTTGGTCTTCAATAATATATATTTTACAGTGAAGCATATCGTTGATAATAAAACTCGGCAGTCGGTTTTCCAATTGATGTACTGGTCATTTTCGACGAAATGTCATTGTTATCAATGTTTGCAAGCTTAGAATGACATCAAAAATTTTGAAAAAAAAAACTTTGAATTAATCTGCAGTAGTAAGATCTTGAATCTTAAAGAATTTTTCATAGATCGGTTAAATGTAATGACTTGAGCGCGTATCAAAGCGATGATGAAATAGTTAAATCTAAAATCAAATGTTCATTCAGATGTAATGAGACGCATTAAATGTTTAGTTAAAACTTTCAAACATTCACAACACAAAAGAAAGGTAAAGTGTCTTGGCGGAGAACATTACTTTCACATAATTTGAGTAACTATTTGTACACACGAAATTCAATATAATTCTACAAATGTTTCGAAGTGAGATTCCATTTCCATAATCGACTATGTCGGAATTTAATTTTAGATGTTTGGTATTAACATAATTTTATAGGACTTCGAAGTGTTGTTGGCGATGCCATAATCATAACATGTAATTCATCAAAATATCCTAGTAAAAATTTAATAACACACTAGTGATCAGCACCAAAACTTAAAAGCAAAACAACGTGTCGTGGTAAGATTTTGTTTATCGTCGTCGTTAGAATAAGCATTATCTGGCATATTGTTGTTTAACATACATTTCATCTGTACTACTGTTAGTGCAATAGACGAACACATGACATGACGCTAATTGTAAATTTTATAGTCGATATGTTTTCTTTCAATAAATGGTTTTCAGTTGGTTCAAGTCATCTAAAATCCTAGTAAAATCGCTGAAATCGGCATTCCTGCAGGTTTGGGAATTCAGGCGGTGTGTGATACGATTACAAGGAATTCCATTCAATGATGATGTTGTTCTTTCTTTTTTGGAGCAATCAAATAAGGATGATTCTCTGCGATAAATACCGGTTATGCCATTTCCCCGTATGTTATGACTCGATGGAGTGCATCATTAACGTATCCAGGATGTAACATTCCAATATGACGACACTGTAAAAGCACGCTTTACTGACCATAAAATTCCATACAATTTTTGTAAGGACGTATAACCATTAGCACATTCTAAGCTTCCGGTTTACCTGAGAATGCTTATTTGTTTATGAATCGATGTTGATGATATTTGATAACTAATATAAATTTCAATGTGTAGATATCAGTCACTGACATTATCAAAGCTCGAAGACTTTCATTTACACTAATCTAGATATCAGTGTAGGCGTGATTTCATTATAGAGCTGACGAAAACGTTGCACAACATTCAGGGTTCAAAAGTGATAATTTTAGAGACCTAAGAATACCTGCTCACTATGATGTCGTTTCCATGACATTTTGCACTTTGATGGTATCTGAAATGGTAACATGTGTTTTGCAAGCGAGATTGAATGGAAAAGGTAACGTTATATCAAGATTTCGAAGTGTGACTCATTTTCACATGGCTAATCCTTATTAGGAAATTCATCCTTCAAACCTAATGTCGACATCGTTTACACATTTTCATGATAATATGAATGATATATAACGAACTCAACTAAGCAAAGATATAGTTTTTGACATTTTTATCACTTCAAGTGCCAACGGAGTAGATATAACTTATCTGCATGTCTTCTTTACAAGTATGATGTGAACAAGTATAATAGAATACACTAAGTATAATGTAGACAATCAATATGGGGAACATCGAGTAAAATGAAGGCAATCGTAACATGAAATACAATTATTATGAATCAATAGTAGTGTTAAATACCAAGTATTATGTAGACAATAGTAATGGGAAATGCCAAGTATTATGTAGACAATAGTAATGGGAAATACCAAATATTATGTAGACAATGGTAATGGGAAATAACAAGTATTATGTAGACAATAGTAATGGGAAATACCAAGTATTATGTAGACAATAGTAATGGGAAATACCAAGTATTATGTAGACAATAGTAGTGGGAAATACCAAGTATTATGTAGACAATCGTAATGGGAAATACCAAGTATTATATAGACAATCGTAATGGGAAATACCAAGTATTATGTAGACAATAGTAATGGGAAATACCAAATATTATGTAGACAATGGTAATGGGAAATACCAAGTATTATGTAGACAATAGTAATGGGAAATACTGAGCATTATGTAGACAATAGTAATCGGAAATACTGAGCATTATGTAGCCAATAGTAATGGGAAATACATGACATTATGTAGACAATAGTAATGGGAAATACTGAGTATTATGTAGACAATCGTAATTGGATATACTAAGTATTATGTAGACAATCGTAATGGGAAATACCAAGTATTATGTAGACAATCGTAATGGGAAATACCAAGTATTATGTAGACAATAGTAATGGGAAATACTGAGCATTATGTAGACAATAGTAATTGGATATACTGAGCATTATGTAGACAATAGTAGTGGGAAATACTGAGTATTATGTAGACAATAGTAATTGGATATACTAAGTATTATGTAGACAATAGTAATTGGATATACCAAGTATTATGTAGACAATAGTAATGGGAAATACTGGACATTATGTAGACAATAGTAATGGGAAATACTGGACATTATGTAGACAATAGTAATTGGATATACCAAGTATTATGTAGACAATAGTAATGGGAAATAACAAGTATTATGTAGACAATAGTAATTGGATATACCAAGTATTTTGTAGACAATAGTAATTGGAAATACTGGACATTATATAGACAATAATAATGGGAAATACTGAGTATTATGTAGACAATAGTAATTGGATATACCAAGTATTATGTAGACAATAGTAATTGTATATACCAAGTATTATGTACAAAATAGTAATTGGATATACCAAGTTTTATGTAGACAATAGTAATTGGATATACCAAGTATTATGTACACAATAGTAATTGGATATACCAAGTATTATGTAGACAATAGTAATGGGAAATAACAAGTGTAGACATAGTAATTGGATATACCAAGTATTTTGTAGACAATAGTAATAAATACTGAGAATTATGCAGACAATAGTAATGGGAAATACTGAGTATTATGTAGACAATCGTAATGGGGAATACCAAGTATTATGTAGACAATAGTAATTGGATATACTGAGCATTATGTATACAATATGTGGGAAATACCAAGTATTATGTAGACAATAGTAATTGGATATACTGAGCATTATGTAGACAATAGTAATTGGATATACCAAGTATTATGTAGACAATAGTAATGGGAAATACTGGACATTATGTAGACAATAGTAATGGGAAATACTGGACATTATATAGTAATTGGATATACCAAGTATTATGTAATGGGAAATAACAAGTATTATGTAGACAATAGTAATTGGATATACCAAGTATTTTGTAGACAATAGTAATTGGAAATACTGGACATTATATAGACAATAATAATGGGAAATACTGAGTATTATGTAGACAATAGTAATTGTATATACCAAGTATTATGTACAAAATAGTAATTGGATATACCAAGTTTTATGTAGACAATAGTAATTGGATATACCAAGTATTATGTACACAATAGTAATTGGATATACCAAGTATTATGTAGACAATAGTAATGGGAAATAACAAGTATTATGTAGACAATAGTAATTGGATATACCAAGTATTTTGTAGACAATAGTAATGGGAAATACTGAGAATTATGCAGACAATAGTAATGGGAAATACTGAGTATTATGTAGACAATCGTAATGGGGAATACCAAGTATTATGTAGACAATAGTAATTGGATATACTGAGCATTATGTATACAATAGTAGTGGGAAATACCAAGTATTATGTAGACAATAGTAATTGGATATACCAAGTATTATGTAGACAATAGTAATTGGATATACTGAGCATTATGTAGACAATAGTAGTGGGAAATACTGAGTATTATGTAGACAATAGTAATTGGATATACCAAGTATTATGTATATATTAATTGGATATACCAAGTATTATGTAGACAAAAATTGGATATACTGAGCATTATGTAGACAATAGTAGTGGGAAATACATTTATGTAACAATAAATTGATATACCAAGTATTATGTAGACAATAGTAATTGGATATACCAAGTATTATGTAGACAATAGTAATTGGATATACTGAGCATTATGTAGACAATAGTAGTGGGAAATACCAATTGTTGGTCGTTCTCTCTTGAAGGGTATTCCCTTTGATATATTACTTGTATCCTCTTCATGGAAGAAAAAACTTGATATGACCTTATCTAACATGGGAACATTAAACTCAAATGATAAAAGAAGTAAAAATATTTGAAAGATTGGAGGTTTCTCCTTAATAATAGGCGTCAAAAGTATTTTTGGAGAAGTCGTTCAAGCTATTTCGTTACATATCTTTATTGTTTTGTTGGAATCTAAAAAAAAATTTAAAATCTTATTTGTAACATCTATTCGCACTAACATTGAATTGCAGAATGTTCTTTTTTTAAGTTTCAGATAATTATCTTGAACATATGTTGCGTTTCATAATATGTTGAGTTGCGTCAGGTTAACATGTAAACATAATTAATGACTTCAAGGTCAGAGATAAAGCTCCTTAGAGATATCTAGAAAATTAATTGCTCAATCAATAACAAAATTGACCCACATTTAAAAACTTTGATAATATCATGATAATACCATTAGATAAATTATGTTTACATGTTGTAGAGAATGTCAACAGATCAAGCTGAACGTTCTGCACTTCGGATAAAAAAAATAGTTCTTCAAACGTTAGTTATATTCAGGTACGGAAAATATGATTGATGAGTCCCTCAAAGGCGAACTAGCATCATGGCACAGTATGTTACATTTGACTCAACTGTTCCTATTACTAAAACCACTCGAAAGGACTATTTCTTTGTTTATTTATTTATCTGTCTTCTGATGTTTCGAGGATTTTGACCCTATTGCCCTCCAACAC